GCCCCTCCCCAGAGACTGAATCTGTTAGCACCTTGATTTTGGACTTCCTAGCCATCAGAACTCTGAGAAATAAATTTATGTTGTTTATAAGCCGTTCAATTTATGGTATTTTGTTGTACCAGCTCAACAGACTAAGACATAATGTATAAGTCATCACATGTAGACACTCAGAAAATGGCTATTGAATAAATTAATCTTCTTGAATGTGGGCTTCATGAGAAACTAGACTTTGACTTCTTGTTCGCTGTTGTATCCTCTGTGCCTAGAAAAGTTCCTGGAATACGATAGGCACTCAGTAAATATTTCTTAAATGAATGAATGATTCAATTAAGCAGCTCTCCGTAGAAAGCAGGCTCATGCTCAAGCAGCTAAAATAGACTGGTGGCTTTGAAATAAACTGTATCCAAACAGTTCTGGTTTATACATGGATTAAATCAAGATGGCCAGTGCCAAAGTACAGGCTGTTTGTTAAGCACATCAAGGTAAAAAATATTGACCTGATGCTTTTCTCTCATTTGGCATTATGGAGGCATGACCATAGTCTAAAAGAATCTCAGATTTTATGAGACACATTGGGCTTCATTTTACAATAAAAGACTAATTAAACACACAGTTAAAATGTATTTGCTTGATAGAAATCACCTCCGGAGGATGATTTAATCCTTAATGCCTGATCTGAAATTCCCTAGATGTTTTCAGCAGTGAACAGTTAGTCTGTCAGGACATTGTCAGGAACATATATATTTTCATAAAAAGATGAAAAGCATCAAGAACTTTCAAAATGCTCATGATGGAAACATCTTCTATGCCTAACCATGAGGCAATATATCCAGAATAGTACACTCCTTTGAAAAAGGGAACAGATTCTCTTTCTTACTGTCATAAATCAGAGAACTGCTTTTATTTTAGATGGATGGTCGCATTTGCCACTGTGGAACAAATTCTTCAGATTCTTGATGCATTACTTATTCAAATGGGAAAATTGTAATGCTTTTCTTTCTCACAAATGCTTCCAGAACAAAGGATACATTTTAATGTAACACATAGGGCTAATATAAATAAATTGTGCCCTCAGAAAGACTATTTTGTGGTGAAAGGGAAATGCATTTACAGTAAACAGGAATTGCCTTGGAGGACTGGAAAGTTCCATCTTAATGTTCAGGTTATTTACCAGAAGAATAGATTTGGTCTCCTTTTTATGATGAGAAATACACAAGAGGAAAATTTTATAATGTACTATTAGACTCTCTGACTTAATGTATACTTCTCCTTACTTATTTCTTCTCCAAATCTATCTTCAAAGAACTGGTGCTATGCTTAAAAGAAACCAAGCAATCTCTAATAAAAAAAAAGAGGAAGATTATGAAGTTACCTGGGAATTTGGATAAGTCAAAAAGGGTCTTTAACTATCAAAAGAAACTGCAGTTTGACTTATGTTTCTGATCAAATAATGTCTAGGAAAGTCCACAGAATTAGGCAATCTTGTCCCTTCCCAAAATCATAAGTATCCTTACTATACAGACAGGATACCATTTCTTCCTTGAAGCTGAGTTCTCCTATTTTGTGCTTTTAAAAATTAAGAAGAAGTAATTCTGAGATAAGCTTAAAGCATTTAGTTCTAGGTTTTGTTTGTTTATTTGTTGGCTGGTTGGTTTTCTGGTTATTTTTTGCTACTGTTATTCCTTGAAGCAAGTTTTCAAAACAATGAATACTTATTCACTATTCACCGGTTTAAATTTGAAAATAGGTTTATTCATAAACTGTTTTTTTTTCCAGTTGAGTTTATCATTGGCCAAAAATAGATAAGGACTCAAGATACAGTTCAATTGCAAAAGTATCATTTTGAAAGTATGGTCAAAACTAACTCTGAAAGCTATATTTCAACCCCTGGCTGAAAAATATCAGTACTCTGAAACTCCCTCAAATTATTAGAAATGATCAATGTGGTGTGCTCTAAAATGCTTAAATGCAATATAAGTGGTGACGTAGATACCTATATCAGCTTAATTGAACTTTTCATTTCTACTTTGCTTGCTTTTGGCAACTGAAAACCTCTGACGCCTATAAACACACCAGGAGAAGTTGAAATTAAATGTAATTCTGATAAACAACTTCTGCTTCTGATTCACTCAATTACAAAAATATATTGAGTTTCTACCATGCATCAAGAACTTCTTAAAAAGCAATAATGGAAAAAGGACTGCTCTCTTTGAAATTTTAATTTGTAAATCCTTGAATAGAATTCAAATGCACCTCTAAGCTGCTCCATTCTATTATCTCTCCTAAACGTAATTATAGATTATAATCATATTAACATATTGATATAAAATGGGTACATGTGTATTTTTGTATAAAAGAAATTAATTTCCAACAATTAATATATATCAATAAATACTAAGTGAAGAGATTATATCTATGTTGGTAGTAACTTGTTTCTAGGATTTATTAGATTGTCAGGCAATAGAAATTTAGTTTTTTCTTCTGGCAAGGCAATGGTAAAATTTGTAATGTCAAAGCAAAAATTGCACCAAAGTTAATTGAGCAAGAATATTTTTGTTCAAGGCTATGGCAATAGGAAAGAGAGACCAATCATGGAACTTCATAAAAGACAGATTTATATCTCAAGGGACAAATAAAAAATTTACACATTTTCTAAAGTAAATGCCTAAGGAAAAGGAGGTGCAGCCTCTGGGGTTAGGCCAACTGGGATCTGCAAGGGCCAGGTGAGAGGGAGGTCAGGGGCCTAGAGGCAGAAAGCCGCCTGTGTAAAGTTTTGTCAAGCTGCGAGAAATGTGAAGTCTGTCTTGATCAGTACTCAATGCTAAAACAAACACGCAATGAATAAAAATATTAATACCAAATTAAACGTATAACCATAAACACATATAATCTACCACATTTTGTCCTCATTAAAGTGTATATGTAAATGTATCACACACACACAAAAAAGGCATTCTCTTTCCTATGTCTGTCTGCTTTGCTTTCACTCCTTAGATGGGTGGTTGGCACTCTGTGGCCCTCATGACAAATACTGAGCATAGTGTTTGTTTTTTTTAAAATTAAGTTTTATCAGAACACAGCCAAGTCCATTTGTTTACTTAACATCTATGGCTGCTTTGCACTAGGACTACAGAGCTGAGCAGTATCACAGAGACTGCAGGGCCCACAAAATATTTACTATCAGGCTTTTTACAGAAAAAAAAAAAATATTGCCAACTCCTATTTTATATTAATACTATTATCTAGTGTGAACAGGGGCTTTGTCAAACCTTAGTTTGATAAATACGGTAAGACCCAATTTACCTGCTGGTCACTTGATACCAATAAGTATCCAAAATGTATATATTTTTATAATTTTTATTATTTACTTAGGTTGAGAGGCAAGAAAAAAATACAATGTGAGAGAATGAAGGAGGGCTAATTCTCCTCTTTTCGATTCTCATATATTTACCAATTTTCTATACTAACACGACTATGTGCTTCTCAGAAAATAGGAACACGGAAATGAAGGAATCTAACATGAGCTCACAGAGATATATTGGAATAAATTTAACTTGATCCTTTCTTTTACTGGGATTTTTTCCAGAAGCAGGTTGTTTTGATTTTTTTTTTAAACCTAGCTTTATTTGGGTAGAACAGTTCATTTACCTTAGACTGTTGATCATAGTTGAATTTTAATTGTGTTCAAATATTATATTAGGTGTTCTGCTGAGTTACAGGCTTTGGCTCAGATGTCAAAGTCACAGACTCCTTTATGGCTGCACAATTATAAAATAGGTTGCCTTGAAAGGAATGAGCTCCCTGTTACTGGATGTGAACCAGCAGGGGGATGATGACTGTCATTCAGGGATCTAAAAACAGGATTTCTAGATTTGGGAGAGAGGTTCAATTGGGTAATTTCCAAGGTTTTTTGTTTGTTTGTTTGCTTTTTTTGTATCTAAAAATCTATGTATCTTTATTATTTAGCATCAGAACATTCTATAAACGGAAACAGCACACACACTATCTCCAGAAGTAATTTAAAAACATTCATTGTTACATTATCCTGTTCTAGAATTATAACTAGTGATTAAATGCTATGAACAGTAAACTCTGAAGAGGAATACCGATTTTGGTCCAATCTACATCCATCATTAAGATGGCTGAAATTGACTGATTATTTGGTCCAGAATTTATTCAGTTCGCATGAAAATATGACCTTAATAAAACAGAAAAAGGCCTCTAATATATGCATATAAATAGTTTACATGTTATACATGATATATAGGTTAACCAAATGCACTTACAAACTTAGCCCAGGTGTCAAAAAGCAAATAATGGAGGAGTAATGACCCAGTTCTAAATCCTTACTGAAACTCCTCAGTCAGGGTTAGGTGCCTGTATAAGACAATCCTGTGGTACCACATTTGCTATAATGTTTGGGTTCTATGTATGCTAAATAAATCATTGTTTTAGTGAACTAGTAGTGCTGATATAAATATAAGAAGGAAGGATATAGTCTAATATTTGGGGCAAGACACAATTATGGCTCTAGATGTATCTCTGACACTAAAAGGGTAATCTTGTACAAATCAGGGCATCAGGGCTTTAGTTTCCTAAGATAGCAAATAAGGCACTGGTTCTCAAACTTAATATGAGAATCACCTGGAAAGTGTGTTAAAACACAAATCGCTGAGTTCCACCCTTAGAATTTTTTATTCAGCAGATCTGGGGTGGGTTGAATAATTCGCATTTCTAAGTTACCAGGTGCTGCTCATACTACTTGTCAAGGGACCATACTTGGAGAACAAGACAAGGACTGGGAGGATGGTGTTAGTGAATCACCAAATCATTAGTACTTCAGCTGTCAGAGAGACAGCAGTCAGCATCAAACGTGCACAAAGAAATGAATCATCTTTTTAATCAAAGTTTCATTTGAATTAGAAGTGAGACGAATGTTTCTTTTTTTCTTTAGATTTCATTGGAGATTTATGACCATGTAAATGTTCTATAATACTTACGTCATAGCTTGATAAATGGACTCAATCCCATAACGCATGGCAAATTCATCAACTATTTCTTGGGAAGCATCATCAAAGAAAACCTTCCAGGCTTCATCTCCTTTGACATCTGGGATTTTCACTCCACCATTAGATTTCACTTCAGTTAAATAATGGAATAGATTCTAAAAGCAAGTGGTTTTCAATTGTTCAGTGATTCTTTAGAATAGGCCAGAAATACTTAACTGTAAGTTTCAGTAAAATGCACTTGCATTGTCATCACTTCTAATATTTCATCAGCATCTACAAGCAACAGGAATATCTTGGATTTTTATTCTAACTCACTTCATCTTCTATGAAAAATCTGCTTTTACTTCTGCTTGGGTCTATGCAGAATTGACAATTCAAATATTTTGTGCATACCAAACCATTTTCAGAAGTGAAAGTTTTTGCATGTAGACATTTCTACATAATAGAATATATTTTGCATTCATAGGCACTGAGTAAATTTTAGTGCCCTGGATAAATAATGTGATTTTGGCTACCTTAATACAGAATTTAGTTATGTAAATGATACTAAATGGTTTCGGCTGCAAAATGGTAAGAGTCAGGTCAATGAATTGAGGCTGAAATGAATGTTTGAAAATTATGTAATGCAAAAATAAATCACTACCCTCAATTCATCTTTGCTTCTAACAAGTTTAGAAACTGGTATATGGATGCAGCCTGGGTAAACTGAAGGACCTTTTCTTCAATTTCAGTTTTATAATACCTGGTTCTTGGACCAGCAGAAAATACTCTGAAAAGTGAAGCACAGTGCTGTCCCTCTGATCACAAATATTCTCTACCCACATTTTTTTTTTTTTTTTTTT